AAAAAAAACATTTAAGTGATTTACTAGTCTTCCAAACAAAAAATTTGAGGTCCTTAATCTTATTCCAGCGTCTGGTAGTTATACGCTTTACGAGTTGCATTTCAGCCATTAATACACGTCGTTACATTATTTCAAGCATTGTTCATGTATTAAGATGACCATCGAAAAAATTTCCCAATAAGACTATGCTTGCCGTTTCACTTTTGAGAAGATTTCGGTGAAAACTTACTTGAACAGTAACTTTTTTACGGGTGATGAGAAATGATATGAGCGAGAGCAACTACACTGACATGTACGAGAAAGGCATGAAGCGTCATTCATTGACATCATTTTCGCCTTCAAGGGCAAGAATTCAAGTATTCATAAAGGGAGCGGCATCAACCTCCATCTTCTTTCCACTCGGATAATCAAAAAATTCCTTCATTCGTTTTCATTATCATCAATTTTTATTGGTTTCAAGAGTTCAAAAATTTGAGTATTTCAAACTCACAATGAAAGTTTGCCAAAACAAAACTCAGGAGGATTCATATGACTTGAAGAGCTACAAGCTTTCCTGTAATTCAGAAATGGGAAATTATCTTAAGTTAGGGATTTTCTTAAGGTAAAAAAAAAACTTATGTTAGGACCCATCTTTTTCTATATTGAGCCATAAAGCATGAACCGCATGAATTCGCTACTTCTAATAGTGGCAATTTTTTTTCAATTTCTATATTTATCGACTTATCTTCACAACTAGCAAATTTCATTTCCAAAGTAAAGAAAGGATAAACTCACGAAGAAAATCATTCCTATTAGGAGCAGAGTCTGTTCTGTGAATCTCTTCCGCATCCAAATAACACCAAAACCGTTACTGCACATTATACATATACCTATGTACGATTTGCTTATTCATGTACCCAACATGACATTTTTGAGTAGAGAAGGAGCCCTTACCCGTCATCATTTGTATCAGTTGTCCAGTTTGGGCATCAGCATCGAACTGTTCGATGAGGTAGAGCTAAACGAATACATTGATAGACTGCTTTTCAATTTTCTTCACGATTCAAATTTACCTGCATTATAGAAAACGTAAGAAGCATGGGGACAATAGGAGCATTTTTCTTGAACATTATATTTAGTACTCCGGGTCGATTTAGTATGCGAATAACATTAGTGATGCTCATGTGGTTATTTGACTCCTCGGTCACTTCCGATTGGTGCTAAAGGAAATTATTCAGTGGATTATGCTTTCATTCATATGGGGAACCTTCACCTCTTCGTACGACCTTTTGTCCAATAAGCATTCCAATACAGCAACGGGAACGATGCAAAGAATAGCAGAAACAATGATTGGCGCACTTTCAGAAAACAGTTTTGTGGCGATGATGGAAAGTAATGGAGTTAGGAGGAATCCGAGGCCTAAAAATTTCTCAAAAAAAGATTTTTTTCAACTGGCTAGCGAGGCTACCAAAAGTGAGTCCCATTCTTCCAAATGCGTTTGTTCGCTCCTTTCCAGGAGAAGTCATTGCAGAGAGCAATGTCTGATGCGCTTGTTGACCATGCATGAAGATGCATGGAATTCGACT